TTTGTATAATATAAATATTTTTCTCAGCTAGGAACTTTGAAAATAAGACTCAAAACAGAAACAGCCATAGACAATAGATCAATATGTAATAATTTATGTCTATGTGTATGGTGTGAAGAATTCACAAGACCAGAGCAGGTAAAATCCACCAATAATTGCTAGAAAAGTAGTTCACAATGATACTCCAAGTGCAATCAGTTTACAATTGAATGTTGAACTTGAATATTTTTCTCTGATTGCTCCCTGTGTTGTTTATGTGTTTATTTTGTGTGTATGTGTTTATATGGGTGAGTGTACAAATTTGTACATGAGGCCACAGTTCAAGTCAGGTGTCTTCCTCAACTATTGCTCCTCACTTTTTCCCCCTTGGGGACAACATCTCTCACTGAATCTGGAGTTTGCCAATTCAGCTAGACTGGCTGGCCACGCTCCAGAGATCCTGTTTCCACCTCACCAGCATCTGGACTGCAGGTATGCATCAGTATGCCCAACTTTTCACTTGGGTTCTGGGGTCCGAACTTAGGTACTACTGCTTACAGAGCAAGTACTTTATCGATGGAGGCTTCTCCCTAGCCCTCAAATTCTGTAATGTACCCACAGTGCTATCAATGTGGAAAGAAAACTACTAATGAGTGTGGTGTGAGACCAGCACATATTGATATAATGAAAAAAATTCACACCCATGACAAGCATCTCACATAATTTTCAAGATGTTTGTAAATAACCAGAAATAACACCTGTCCTATATCCAGAGAGCAAAGGGAAAAGGGCAATCCTGTAGCTCTAATTAGCAAAGAAAAATGTAAGGGTAACAGTCATCTGAACTCCTGCGATGCCTTCTGTCTGGAGATTTCCAATGCGGGACTCTACTCATTATGTCTAAAAGCAAGGCTGTGAAGCTGCATAATTAGAGTCACTTTTACAGCTTTCTCAGGGACAGGAATAACTGTCAGTCAGAGGTTTGGGTTTTGCGTTATTGTTTCTGTGTTTTGTTCTTCCTGACAAATTCTGAGTTTTCATTTGTATCAGAAATAAAAATGAATGTTAAAATTCCCAAGTCACTTTTAAAAAAATCTAGTAATTTCCTGGGGTGGCAAGCAAAGAGACGAGTCCTCTGTGCCCAGCATGTTCTTTATGGATGTGGCTTCAACCTGAGAGTTATAAGGAGGGTCATCTGGCACAACGGTCCTCATCTGTACCTTATAGGAGGAATAGGAAAGGGTATCCAGTGTGAAGTGCTCTTTTCTTCCTTCAATCTTTGCATATAAAATAATGTCATTTTCATGAGAATCTCCAGGGTCACAGACTCCTCCTGCATGAAAAAAAAATTTGGGGTTAGAACCAATTTGCATCCAAAATATCAAACACAGTGTTATAAATCAGAGCAAGAAACAATTAAAGTATTATATGTCACTTAAGGATACTTTTACACAAAGACAATGGGACCCAAGGAGTTAATTGATGAAGGTAGCTCAGAGAGCCATGTTCCAGATCAAAGACTTGACATGGAAAGGCCAATATTACTCTTTGTTTAATGGAATTACTCAAATAACAGTGTGTGTTGAGTAGTACTACATGGCTATGATTCAACCCAGTTAAGATTTGTGCGTGTGTGTGTGTGTGTGTGTGTGTGTGTGTGTGTGTGTGTGTGTGCGCGCGCTCATGCACGTGTGCCCTTTTGGTGTGTGGGAACGTGTGTGTAGGTGTTGCTGTTCTTATGTGTGCAGGCCAGAGGACAACCTCGTGTGTCACCTTCTGCTGGTCTTTCGCTGAGCTGGCTGACTTGCAGGTCTCGCGAGGCTCTGTCAGTCTCTTAACTCCACAGTGCTGGGGTTACATGCATGAGTCATCATACCTGGGCTTGCCATCTCCCCCGTCCCTGGAGAACCTGCTCATCATGACCTTTAAATGGCTGCCATTACCACACTGTTTTATTATTGTGGCTCTATAATACATCTTGAAATTCGGAATGGTAATCGTCCCAGCATCGTTCTTTTTGCTCAAGATTGTACTGGCTATGAGGTCTATTTTGTGGTTCCAAACAAATTCTAGGATTTTTTTTCTATTTCTCTGAAGAATGCTCTGGGTATTTTGATTGGGATTGCATTGAATCTCTAAATGGCTTTTGATAGAATGATAGTTTTGTAATATTAATTCTACCAACACATGAGCATGGAAGTCTTTTCACTTTCTAATGTCTTCCTCAACCTCTTCTTCACAGATTTAAAGTTTCCATTGCAGAGGTCTTTCACCTCCTTGGTAACATTTATTCTATGACTTACTGTCCTTGAGGCTACTGTGGTTGTGTCCACGATCTTTTTCTCAGTGTGTTTGTGGTTGGTGTACAGAAAATCAACTGATTTTGTAAGTTGATTTTGTACCCTGTCACTTTCCTGAAATTGTTGATTGTTTATGGTTTTCTGGTAGAAATTTGGGGGCATTTATGTATAATATCATATTATCTGTAAATAGAAATAATTTGGCCTCTTCCTTCCCCATTTGTACCCCGATTTCCTTCTCTCCCCTTTAGCTGCAGCTGGTGCTTTGAGTGCTACCCTGAGGCACAGTGGGGATGCTGGACAGCACTGTCCCGGTCCGGATTTTAATGAAGACTTTCTCCATTCCGGAAGATGTTGATGTGGGTCTGTCATACATGGCCTTTATTATGCTGTGGCATGTTTTCTCTAGTCCTACTCTCTAGGACTCTTACCATGAAATCATGTTCCATTTTGTCAAGGGCCTTTTCTTTACTTTTGAGATGATTAAGTGATTTTTGCCTTTAAGTCCATTTATATGAAAATAAGTTTGGTGACTCCCTGTATCAAATGTTTCTGAAATGGTGTTATGAAGATGTTTCAATGAACATGGATGGTATTTTAGCAGATATATTTGTATTCTAAGTATGTATATTTGTTAACTTTTACATTTATATTTTTTGTGCTTCATTTGATTAGTGAAAGGTATATAGTATAGTTTGCTCTCTATCACTCTACTTTATGGTCACACAAAGTGATATACCATTAGAATGGAAAGGCGGGTGAGAGGCTCCTGATGATAGCATTGTCTGAGTACATGTTCTGTCTTTTCTCCTCTATTATACATTATTAATAATCCTTGGTCTTTCTGGCTTCTATCAACTGTCTGCCTCATCTGGTTTTAAAAGCAGATATGGAGAACTAGAAGCTCCATACACTGCCATTCATAACAGCATAGCCACGTAAGAGTAAAGGCATGCAGAAGCATTTCTGAAATTCATCACATTAGCCATTACATTTTCATAGCCTGTTAATGAGAACTGTGACTGGCCCATAGGCCTTTTCTGAGTCCCCAAGTCACACTTTTGGGGCCCTTAAGGAAATTTGTTATCTGAATCTCAAATATCAGCAGTTGACTATAGTCACCCCATTAAGGCCACATGCAGAGCCCATCCCGACGAGAAAGCTGTATCATTTATGAAACATTGTTCTTTCATCTAAGAGCAACCATTTTCAATATCCCAAACAAACACCTTAACAGGCACGTTTGGCTTTAGAAGTGATCTATTAGAATTGTACTGTACAAATCCTGTCTCCTAAGTTCATTCTATAAGGTATTTGACACATTTGAGCAACATTGGTAGAAGCAACAAGAAGCTGGTTTGCTCATTGAGAAGTTAGTGTCTATAAGACAAACAGTAGAGGACTGGAAGGTTCTACGAATGAGCTTGCTGCTGGAGTACGCAGCTAAGCCAGGGAAGAGGAAGTTTAGCATACGCCCTTGTCCTTCTGCTGGGTCCCTAGAGTAGTTCTGGGCATATGGGATTCCAGTGAGTTATCGATGGTGCTGTAGGAAATCTGTGTCCACATTGGCCGAACAGTTTTAGGGAGTGTTATATTCTATATATTCTAGCTTTAGACACTAAAGTTACACTTCAGCTACTAGTGAAGAAAGAAATTTGTCTGGTAACTAATTTTCTTCCCAATTTGTAAATTTTTAGTTTCATAGAGTATTGAGGTTACTATCTGAACTGGTTTTGTCTTTAACTAGACAACTAGAGTATGAATAAGAGCAATAATACCTACTTTTAATTCAGTATTTACTACATGTTATATATCAGGAAAAATTAAATACAAGTATTATGTGTTTCCAACTCATAACAACAGTTTTGAAGGATTAAGTACATTTATCACTTTGCTGATGGGACCGAGTCCGGGAGAGGTTCTACAATAGCCTCCATTTAAATCTGTATCTGATGCCATTCTGTTTGACTTCAACCCTGCATTAACATCACACAGGGAAACTGTGGATGCTCGTATTTGTAAAGCCTTAGAATTTGGCATGCTACATACAATGTGCCTTTTAAAATTATCACACAATTAATATATACTGAGTTATGTAATCTGAACTAATAGGGAAGGTATATATAGTGATAATGTGGACTTCTTTCCAACAGATGTTTATTATAGGCCAACAACCTATAGATAATATTATGATTTTGATAAGGTATCATTTATTTTAGCATTTCATTATGTCAGTGTAATAAAGCAGTTATTAAAGTTATTGTAAATGCTGGTGCCTGAGGAAAAGATCCATATGAAAACAAAATTCTCCTTTAGAAAAACATTTCTTCTATCAACCATTGGATACACATTTAAAAATAACCAAGAAGAAACTGAAAATGTAAAAAGTCACATTGTATGATTTTAGTGTACCACATCCAAAGGCACAAGCCCAAATGACCAATTCTCTGCAACTTCATTAACTGTTCCCAGCATCTTCTCTGCTCTTTTAAGGATGGCAGTGAATAGCAGCTGCTGTTCTAAGAAGAAACACATGTGGGATGCTCACAGAGAACAGAATGGAAAAGGAAATCTGAGAGGAGCCAAGATGTTAAGATGATGACAGAGTCTATCTGAGAGAACCCTCTGAGGGCAATCTGTCAGTCCCGTGAAGTTCACTGACAGTAACTCCTCCAGGAAGAAATGGAATCTTGCTTAGCTTATGAAGCTTTGATGCGTGGTAGAAAGAAGGGCTCAGGAGGCATCCTGTAGAGCAATTAAATACAGAAAGATTTCAATAAAAGCTGGATGGATGGTCAGTTTCAAAATACCCAAACAGCACTTTAAATAGCTTTATAGACACTCACTGTGTGAGGAAACTGATTTTGCTGGATTTTACTATTTTCAGGGTACTAGACTAGGAGGGGAAATATATCTTGACTTCAGTTTATTATTTAATGAGAAAAAAAACAAGACAAATATACAGTAGTTAGTGTGCATTACCTAGAGTCAAGCATGACATGAAATTACTAATATTCATCAGATATTTCACTTTTAAAACAGTTATTATACTTGTATGTGAATGCGTGGAGGAGTGTGTGTGTACGTGTGTGTGTGCACGTGCGTGCGTGCATGTGTGTGTGTGTGTGTGTGTGTGTGTGTTTATGCACACACATTCATGTTTCCATGACCAAAAATCAATCTTGGGCATCTTTGTCTATTGCTCTTAACCTTATTTTTTGAGGCAGGGTCTCTGGCTAAAGCTGGAACTTGCCAATTATCTGGACTGGCTGCTCAGCAATCCCTAGAGATCCTTCATCTCTGTCAACAGTGCTGGATTATGCAAGCTCACTGCTGCCCTTGGCTTTTTATAATCCAAACTCAAATTCTCATGCTTTTAAGGCAAGCACTTGACCCTCTGAGTGAACCCATGTTTTATTTTACCATTAATTCTTCTAGTTAGTCTTTTACTATGCCTAATGTATAGCTTACTTGTCAGACTTCATCATAGGCATGTATGTATAGAAGAAAACAGCATATAGAAAAGGCACTTTAGGACCTGTGGTTTCACACATCCACAGAGATCACAGCATATGGGAAGACTCCTCATAAGAAGGATAATTAGCCCTAACTGCATTGTGGTGATATACTGTAGTAAAAAATCCAAAAGAAAAAGACGGTGTGAACTAAAAGATCTGAGAACAAACTAAATATGCAGTAAACATTTTTAGAGAAACAATAAAAAGATAGTAAAAATGAATGGTATTTATTAGGTTACTTTGTCTTGTTCACTGAAGTTCAGCTCTAAACCACTGTACTGGATACTAATCCTCAACAATGTTTGCTGAATAAGTGAACAGATAAATAAGGGAAAGCGGGGGTTTAACTGAATTCTGAAAGTTGTACAAGTTTTACATAAGTGATAGTCATAAAAACTGATATGAACCAAGGATTGAACACATCATAAATTGCTTGAGAGGAAATGAGATCTAGAACTGATAAAAACTAGCCATTCATTTTCCAGAGCACACACCAAGTGAGAGGTTACTTATAAACTCATCCTAAGTCCCCTCTCACATTGCTTTTGTTTTCTTCCCAGCTACTACATTTGGAGAATCTTTTTACGGGTCTAGATTTTTGCATGCACCATGTCGCTAAGACTAAGGAAGGGAGGTGAGAGGAAGGCATGGCATCTTGTCTTTAGTCATGGTATGTCAAGAATGCCTTTCTTTACAAGATGGCACCAACAAGATGGGTTGATTTACTATTGAAATTCTAATTTCAAATATATTTTATCAGGAGGGTAAAGATAGACAAACAAACTAGATTGGCATATTAATTATTTATTACAACTTTGTTTACTAATATTTTCTAGAAATTACTTTTAATAAAGTGAGAGACAGTTTGAATATTATTTAAAGAAAATGAAGTCTAGATATTTAAATGCACAAACTATTTTAAAGTAAGTACTGAGGCAGGGGTGGGTACCACAGATCTTTGTTTTGTCAGGAGAGCTCAGATTCCACGAATTTTCATGATATATGGTAAATAATAAGCAATATTATTTCTGTAGAAAAAAGCACTGGTCTGTACCTACCCATAACAAAATAGAACCTCAGGTTCCCATAACCGGTTGTATCCATGTAGGGAGTGCATAGCTTCCTCTCTCCATCTTTGAGAAACACCAGTGATAGACCCGATTCTATGGTTCCACATTCTGTACCAACAACAGCTCCTAAGATGTCCCATCTAAATAAAAAAAGAAGAAGAAGAAGAATCATTAAGAGTGATAACACCAAATCCAACTTCATATAGAATTTTTTTATTCAGTGATGGATAAATCTGGGTAAAGATATGGCACTGCAGATTCTGGGCAATGAATAAACCTGAAACCCATACTGTTCAGTTACACTTCTACTTATCAACTTTAGTCAACAGTGTTTACTTTTGCCTCTTCTGTGACTACAGCCATATTCTAGTACAAGAAAGTATTTATTCTTTTTTAACGGTTTGAAGATATCATATATGGATATAATGCATAATGATCAAATCCACCCTCTTCCTTCTGCTCCAATTGACCCCCCATCTCCCACAGAATGTCTTTATTCTTAAAATTCTTACTTTTAAGTTATAGAATCAAATTAACACTGAGGCAAGAGTCAATCAGGGAAGACAGTTCACCCTTGAACTGTATCACAAACGCTTGTATGGTGTCTGTTGCTGTGGGATGTCTGTACAATGTAAATATGTGTTGCTCTCATTGGTTGATAAAGAACGGTGTTTGGCCAATGGCGAGGCAGAATAAAGTTAGGCGGGACATTCTAACTGGAGAGAGGAGAAGAAAGGACAGCGGCACAGACTCTGTGAGCTGCTACCAGGAGAAGTAAATTGTACAAGTAGCGGTGAGTCACAAAGCCACGTGGCAATGCATAGATTAATAGAAATGGGCTGAGTTAAGTTGTAAGAGCTAGCTAGCAAGAAGCCTGAGCCATTAGGCCATACAGTTTTTAAGTAATATAAGTCTCTGTGTGTTAACTTGGGTCCAAGTGGCTGCGGAACCAGGCGGGAAACAGGAAAACTTCTGATTACAGTCTGTATATTAAGAATATATTATATATGTATTATATGTAAGTATTACATATGTGTATTTGAATGAAAAGCCATATGTGCCTGGAAAAGTCCAGTGAGTTTTCTGTAAGGAGCTGAGGTATACACTAGGTCTTGCCAAGCAGGTTCTTGGAGTGCAGAAGAGCATTAATACAGTTGACTTCTATTGAGTGCCAACTAATGTGCTAGACCCTTTCTAGGGACTTCACACACTAACCTAATATCATCTTCACAGAACTCTGTAAAACAGTAAAGACATCCTGATTTTAAATGGAAACTAAGATATACAGATGTTAAGGACAGCCAACAAAAGATAGGCACTATATTCAGTACATGTAATTAGACCCTAGAGTTCATATCTTTCTTTAGTAATAGATTGGATTAGGAGTTGATCAATCCTAAGAGTATAGGCTGAGAACTGGGTATAACCCTGACACTATCAGCAGTACAGATATCACCATATCTTCATAAGGGTGTGTGCTATGAAGAGTAGACAATGCATTTGAATAACTCATCGGAATAGAGGAACAGAAGTTCAGATACTATTCTATAAACATCCAGGGTGATTTTTTTTCAAATATGAAAATGTGTTTAGCCGGGCGGTGGTGGCGCACGCCTTTAATCCCAGCACTCGGGAGGCAGAGCCAGGCGGATCTCTGTGAGTTCGAGGCCAGCCTGGGCTACCAAGTGAGTTCCAGGAAAGGCGCAAAGCTACACAGAGAAACCCTGTCTCGAAAAACCAAAAAAAAAAAAAAAAAAAAGGAAAATGAAAATGTGTTTATGTCTCTGCTTTTTTTTCAATGGCTTCCTATGGCTGTCTAGACAAACTTCAAACTCCTTAATGCAGAATATGTGGTCATGATTGGTCTGACCCAAGAACACATTTCTGACCTTATCTCTGTGGATGTTACATGTTTCTTCCTGTCTTGTGTCAAATGCCCTGGCTATATAACAGGAATTTAAAGTTGCTACAATCACTTCTGTCAGGCCTCCATGCCTTTACTATCTGATGAACAGTCATTCCCTAACATGTCCTCTACATAGCATTTCCTAGACTCACTCATTTTGTCTACATAGCTTCCCGTGGACAGCCTTACCACATCTCATATTTGATCTTTTGTGATATCATGTACATTTTGTTTATATGTTCCTCTTCATCCCTGACACACTAACTCCTAGGCAGCTGCCTTACTTCTATGTTCTTATATCTAGTTCAGGGCCAATGTCCAGCGGAAGCTCAGTAATGATGGAGACATTAAAGAATTAATATCGAAAGAGTGTATGAAGCATAACTCAGTGCTTACTTGGACCATCTTCACTTTCCTTGCCTTTGATAGCCTTGCCTTGCCCCATCATGCGAGACAATTTATACTCCCTTTGGTCTCTCCTAACCCTGGCCTCCCTCATTCCTATCTTCAGGTTGGTGAACTGTCCCTTCATTCACAAACTCCCTATGTCTATCTTAAAGCCTGGTACTACAATGACTGATTTGAGAACCATATTTAAGTTTGAAGACTCGGGGTTTAGTTTTCTGCCACAAGATCACCACTTTAGACCCACCCCTGCCCATTTAGACCCACCCCTGCACGACCACCTGGGCATTAGCTTCTCCATCAACCTGGCTCTGGATGAAGGCTTCAATGTCTTCAAGATTTACAGTATTAAATGAGTGGGTCAATATAGCATTTGCACATCTTTGCTTCCAAACATCTCTTCCCTGATCTTCTCCTCCTTGCAAGTCTGTCTGAGGAGTGCCTAAAGCAGAAACCTCACAATATATTTCCAGCTATAATAGAAGCCAAGAGACTTTTTAGGACAATGACCAAAAACTTATCACAGACATTTAGGCCATTTCCACTTTTCTGGTTATTACTAGAGATACTGTGTGGAAGGTCCTGTATTAAATGTTCACACACATGGACAGACCTCCCCGAGCAGCCATCCTTTAGTAATGTCTATGAGAGACATGGGGTCTAATCCTACATGGTACACATTGCAATTGTGCATTGGTATTTGCTTTTTTGCACGTGCAGTGGCATAACCTTTGTGCACCTTAAGATAACTGAGAAAACAGCAACTCTGATAATTGTCTGTGTTCTGAGCTTCCACGAAACTTTCAGCTGAGAAAAAATGTGAGAGAAGGTGTGTGTGTGTGTATGTGTGTGTAAGTAGAATGGATAATACTTCACCAATCTTCAAACTAGTTGGATAAAGTTATGTTGCTATCAGGAAGATGTAAGATTCCTGTTTCTAAACAAGCTTGTGCCATCTTTGGGTTTTGTTAAGCCTTTAAATTTTAGCCTGGTAGATGGGAGGGAGATTTTTATCTAACTTTTGCATGTCCATGACTACTAATGAGTTTGGACATCCTATCATGTTTATGATTGGCCAGCTGAAGTTATGTTCTCGAAGTTGTTCCTCTCCTCTGTCTATTTTCCATTACAGTCTCACTCTTCTCTCACTTCCTTGTGATCTGAAATATTTAGTTTTTTCTAGACTGTAATTTTTCTTGGGTATATATATTTTATTTTTTATTTGTTTATGTAATTTTGCTTATTAAAAGTTTTAATAGACAGGGCTGGGGAGATGGTTCAAAGGATAAAGCAACTGGAACATAAGCATGAAAACCAGAGTTCAGATGCAGGAGGACCACTACCCACATAATCATGAGGACCAGAGTTCAGATGCAGAGGACCACTACCCACATAATCATGAGGACCAGAGTTCAGATGCAGAGGA